AGATAACTAAAAGTTAAAACCACTAAAATATCTAATTCAAGTAACCACCAAAGTCATTTTTTTTCTATGTTATCTATGTTATCTTAACTCAGAATTTCTTAGAAATTTCTTTACTATTTGAACTCACAGTCTCATCCCATGTATGCTTTATTTTACTTACAAATGCTTCAAAGAAACAAGACCCTTGAASGTATCTCTTCTTAACTGCYTAATGTTGTTGCTTTCAAGGTTGCTAAAAAAGAAGAGTTCAATCTCTGCTTAGAATTAAAAAAAATGTTTGCTGAATAAACAGTAAACATTTTGGATTCGTTGATTTCAACATTAGAATGAGTGATCAGCTAAAATTTATATTAAACTTTTTGAATTGCATGTTATTAGCACTGATTCCATAAGTAAAAAGTGCATTTTCAACATTTGAATGACTAAAAGATAGAGGAAAAATTCGAGGTATCAACCATTTCTGGGCACCCTACCTTAAAATGCCATTGCCTGAGCCGGTTAATTTTAACTATCTTGTAAACTTGACTGAAAAGCTCTTTAGCTATTTATCGTTAAAGAAAACAGTCATACTTACAGCGTCACAAGCTTAGAGAGATGTTGAAATGCTCCATCCGCGATGTAAGAGATGTTATTGTATTGAAGATACCTGAAGTAAATATCATCTCAGTTCATCTCAAATTGACAAATGACTCAAAAAATTGTTCTGCAACAATTTTACTTTCCACTCATTACGAATTAAAAAYCTGTTTTCTATCATGATCATTGATTGATAAAAGCAATATAAAAAGTTAAAGGGAAATTATAAAACCAATAAGAAGGAAAACGAAACAGGAGAAGACATTTTTTCCTACATTTCTACAACACAAATTGACATAGAATGACGCTAGAAAGATTGAAAAGGATCCCTTATCCCTTTTGGCCTTAGTGACACTAACACCTACCGTACGCGATACACTGAGTAATAAAAGGTAATATCTAGTCACAGATCTCTTCTTATTGASACACTATAATTACTTACAGGTAAGTCAAATTTGAGGTTTGATCAAAGACATTTTCTGGGAGATTTGAGATTCTGTTTGACTGAAGACCTCTGCAACCAAATTCAGAAAAATRTTTTACAAAATAGCTTTGTGTATACGTCGTTCCTGGCAAAGTMAATTCTGCAAAAATGGCGGTTGGTAAAGCGAAAACAGTTTAACTGTACTGTTTTACTTACAAGACCATTAGTTCTGTCAAACCAGAAAACGTCATGTTGTGTAGATTTTTCAACAAGTTTCTTCCCAAGTCACTATAGAAAAAATAATGAAARCATTTCTGAACCGAACCAAGGCDGTTTTGTCAAAGATACATTCGTCATAGACAAAAGAAACTACTTACAGTGTCTTAAGGTTTTCAAGTGGACGGAAAATTTGTGGAGGAATGTCCTTGAGGAAGTTGATGTTAAGCCGACTGAAACGCAAGAAAAGCCAAACTAATAAACTACATGAAGAAATTAAGATAAAAGATATGATTTCGTACAGTGTTTCCATGGATGATCCATTGATAAATGCCTTTTCTTTGATACGGAAGACACGGTTGCTTGARATATCTCTGCAAATATAATCGCTTTGTTATTGTAACGTTCATATTCGCATCGATCAACTTTCTTTAGCTTTCAAAT